ATAGTAGCATTGTTCCTCACGGTAAATTCCTATTCACTGTTCATAACTTACTTCCAATGAAGTATTAATTTTGTAAGCATATATTGCAATTAAAAAAATTAAGAATGAAATGAAAAGAACAATAGCAATGAATTTTAAATAATAGAGAGAAGGATAGGATTTATAGCTATATAGAAGGAAGGTAATAATTGTACTTCATTTTTGGCTTCTAAGTTGTAAATTGCTGGTTACTGTATATTATTTATGTTCTTTTGTATTTTTATTGTCATTCATTCGATCATTTTCTTTAAAAAAAAAAAAAAAAAAAAAAAAAAAAAACCATCATTATTACGTAATTACGATCAAAAATGTTAATTTGGTTTGCGCTTAATTTTTAGGATTAACTTAAGCTTTGATTTAGCTGAGTTCTTGATTACTTATGTATATCATGAGAAACCATATCATTACACTTAATTAATCTAATATTCTATTAGATTTATATATTATTAATTTGCTCGGATTCACCAGTTTATTATTGTGTCTGAAAAGGAACAATACAACATCTTTTTTGCATCTGTAGTACCTTTTTGCTGAGTGGGCCCAAAAGGAAACTTTTAGTTTTGTGCACCAAAAATTCTGTCTTCTAGCCTGCTCGCCGAATTGCTTGCTTTCGCGTAGAATAATTTTAATTGTAATTTTTTTTTAAATTGCTTTAAATGTATTTTGTCTTTTATATTTTTCTATATCTTTCAATTTTTAATGAAAATATTTTGAGTTTTTACGTATTTTTACCTTGCCGCGAAGTGTGAACTGAATGTGAAATTCGAGGAAATATGTGTTTCTCATTAGCAGCAAATATTGTCGCCAGTCTGTCTCGGACAGAGAAGAATGTTTATGAGTAGCGCATGCGCATTAGGTAAGCGGCGCCGAAATTATCTATGAAAAACCGTTTCTTTTTTATTTGTTTAATTTAATTTATACATCCTTTTAGTTTAATTATTGTACTTGAATAGAGAACATGTGACAACGATTAGATAATTCTTCAGATAATAGCATTTTTGTGCATTCTCAGCTATAAAATGAATGAGATTTAATGCTGTTAAGTGAACCTCTCGCCGGGTGTCGCTCTGGTAAATAAATATAGTGAATTTTACCCGGCAGAAGGCGCGCACCCAACACTGACGTTGGAGATCGCGTGAGGGGACTGGGTCATTCCAGTCAGTTTCATTAGGAAAATGTGTTGTATAATTTATAAGAAACCATTTGATTATAAACAATAATTGCAATATTTCATTCACAAGCTATACTTAAGAAAACTTATTTCAATATTTAAGAAAAAATTCCATTCAAAATAATTACATGCCTAATCAGGGATCAGAAGCAGACATACACTTCTGGCAAACATAGGAAGAATGAATTTTACATGAAAAATTACCTCATATTTTTCAAGAAATTGTAGTTTTATTGTCTTTGGACCTTGGACACATAGCACATCAGCCTTTGTCGACTTTTGCTTTCTTTGGTGGGCGTTCTTCTGATCCACTAGAAGTCGCATTATTGATGCTTTCACGAAGCACTTTAGGAAGCACTGGCATACTTTTTTCTTAGATATTGTAAAGGAGCGATCTTTGTTGACAATAACTCAACTCGGGCATTTATTGCAGCGACGTTCAACACACAATAAAAAAGAACCATCGGCCATCTGTTGGTTTTTCGAGCTGTCGAATATAAGGATGACATTTCATCAACTTTGTCTACACCACCTTTTGTTGCATTATAAAATTGAATTATTTCTGGTTTCTTAGTATCCTCACTTTCATCAATGGCATCATCGCGATAGATTGTAGATAACAAAACTACACATTTTGGATTTTTTAGGGACATACGATACTAGTGTCGCGTTCTTTTGGAACCCAAATATAGAAGAATAAACTTTCATAGTTTTTGTTTGGACGAACTCGGTTGCTAGAGGATAACTCGTATACCAATTATCCATTGTTACGTTTCTGCTTGATCCAAACAAAGGGGTGCACAGGCGTTTTGTAATTTCAAATGGTAAATTTTCAACTCTAAAAGGACCTTCTGGCTGTTGTCCTGCGTATATTTCCATGTTATAGCTGTAAAATTTTCTTGAATCTACTAAGGCAAATATTGTTATTCCATATTTCGCTGGTTTACTAGGTATATATTGACGAAAGGAACACAGCCCTCGAAATTTCTCTAATTTTTCATTGATCGTAACATATTCACCAATAGTGCATATCTTTTGTCAATTTTCGTTGAAATTGGCAAAAAATTCTCTCACAGCCGCCAGTTTGTCCAATTTTTTGCGAGCTTCACGATTGGTCACATTATCTAACGGTAAACACCTGAGAATAAAATTAAATCTTTTATATGACATTGTGTTCCGTAAAATTTCAATGCCTGATCCATCAGTTGCCACAAATCTTGCGTATTTGTACGTGACGATTTACGCAAGCCGCACAGATATATAAGCCCAAAAAGTGCTCTAATTTCAGCATCATATGTCGTTTTGGCATCTCGATCTCTGGTGTAATTTACCGATATTATTTCAACATAAATATTTGTACACTCTACAATGAATCGTATCATTTTAGCATTGAAAAACAATTCCCAACTTTCTAGTTGCTTCGTTATATTGCGTGTAGTTCCTTTTGATCCTGGTAAATGAGTTATTATATTTTGAGAAGACGTTTTCACTTTTTGATTTGGTTTTCCTTTCTGAAAAACTGTGTTATTTTTTTTAATCAAAATACTGTTTACTAAATCAGGATTTCCGTCGTCCTCATCATTCTACTCAAATTCACTTTCGCTGTCGTGAGAACTGTACATTTCTTCATTAGATTCATTTTCACTTTTCTTGATCAATTTCTTCTTCAGAAGACTCAACTTCATCTACTCAAATGTTCCATTTCTTTCATATTCGGTAAATTTACGTTTGTAAGCCATTATTTATCAAATAATCCAACAGATCAACAACGGAAACACTCGAGAGCACGAAGCTAAACTGCTACTAATGAAAAATTTCGAAGCAGTAACGGTCGCACGGGGTGACTGAATCACCCAATTCCCTTAGGATTCCAAGAAACGATTGCTTCTCTCGCAGGAAAGAAAAACAAGCAAAAATAATATTACACATTCCAAGGGGACTGTCAGACAGGAGGATACTAGAAGGATGATTCAATAACATGAAATATTTCCGGTCAGGATTGTTGATTTTCGACGCATGGGGTGACTCTGTGCCCCGCGCGACTTCTCTCGTGTTTAAGGAGTGCATTTATTCCTTTGTGGTTCATACGTTATCAACGAAGTAGATTTAATTCAATTCAATGAGTTTAACTGAAATGCAGAAAAAATGCGGATAGTTTAATATTTCGTATAAGGAAGACACGTGGTGTACACATCAGATTTTTTAAATATTTAGATACAGGAGACTGCTGGATTTATTTAACCTTATCGCAATAATGCTCTTTCAATTTTAACGACATTAATGACAATTGAATATTGAGCTTTGAGGACAATGTGACTTCGAGATGATAAGTATGATAAAATGTTTGAAAAGATCATTTATGCCAAGTTACTGTTATGCTCTTCGAAAGAACTGAAAACTTTGGACCGAAGTTGCAAAAGGAAATCTACCTATTGAAGTACGAAAACAAAAAGAGAAATCAAGGATTCTCCGCTGTCTTGTTGCTTGTGGGCTTTTTCAAATAAGTACTCATGTTAATCGCAATATTTACCATTGTGCATACGAAAATAATCTCTGAAATTACTGTTCTTATACAACACTAGCAGATGGGACTGAAAGTTAATATACTCGCAGTGACATTGTAGAGGCATTAGGTATTTTTAAAACAGAAGAGATAAAAATGAGCAGTGTCCTCAATGAGATTCGAACCACGGACCTGTTCAATACGCGCCGAGTGTTGTGACCACTGCACCACGAAGGCATGCGAAGAAGGCGGGAGAAATACCTCATATACTCCCTGTTTTAAAGGGCGACTGGGAATTAGGGAAACCACTCTCCACATCCTGGTGGTGGAGAATCATCATCCACCGCCATCCCTGTTCGAGCGCCTCTGTAGAGACATTAGGCATTTTTGAAGGAGGAGGGATGAAAAGTAGCAATGCCCTCGCTGGGACTCGAACTGCTACCTCTCGAATACATGCCGAGTGTGATAACCACTATACCACTAAGGCATACTATGAAGGTGGGAGAAATACCTTATAATATAAAGAGAGGGTTCTTTCATTCAGGTTTCTTTTTTTATAGTAAACTGACAAGGGAAAACATCTTGTCAATCTTGAGCTCGACTTCCAGAGAAAGTGTAGTTTTCTGCAAGTGCATATTGTATCTGCGAAGCAGGGGCACTTGAAAGACTTAGATCTCTAGAGCTTAAAGTCCTCTCCAGAGGTTGGTAGAAAGTGAAGTTGGATAGAAGATCCGCTCCTCCGCAGGATTCTCTTTCAAAATCGCGTTGCGCTGGTTAAATTCATACTGCTACTTATAGGAGGCTCATGCCAACGCAAAATTTGAGGCTCTTGGCAACGACAAAATTCGTAGATTTATCTGATGTTAGTGTCAGACATGTAAGATAAATACCGTCAACAACACAAATTCTTTACCAATGCAAATGTAGTATTTTATCGATTTTATTTTCTCTTGTAAAGAGACTTTTATGTGAACAAATTATTTTCTCATTCTCTCTCTCGAGAAATTAAAAATTTTAATATGCATATTTTTTTAAGTTTGACAATAAAATTTATTATTTGCATATTATTACGGGCATATAATTTTAAATTAATTACAGTAATGTGCGCACTATCTTAAATTAACAGTTTAATAAATATTGGAAATTATCTTCAAGAATATTACCTTAATTTCTAACTAAATGTACAAAAAGTCGCATCTTGTATTTTGAAACCTGTCGAGACATAAAAGATCAATCTTTAAAAAATTGGCCATAATCAAAACTTATAGTAAAAATATTGTTACTTACTGATTCACCTAAAGGATAAAAGTTGTTTATGAAAATAAGATTCCTCCACCATTTCGTGTAACAAGCTTTCATATATTCATCTCCAACTGCTGTGTAGATTGGACCGTCTCCTAACGGATATAGCAGCAGAGTCAAAAGAATGGAGTAGATGTACACGGGATATGTCCTGTCAGATGAAAAGAGATTTTTAATTCTAAAACGCATAATCATCACAGCTAAAAGTACAAAACTTATAGACTATATTTCAAAACATAAGGACTAAATTTTAAACTGTCAAAAATATGCAATGCCAATACAGAATTTATAATATTTCTTAAAACTCTATCTTGCTGTTAGGCATTGTCTTGTTGGCATGCGTATCCATAGTCTTCGGCAGGGGTTTGTATTCTGAAGATAACATGATTATTTGTAAATTTACAGTGTTTTTGAAGTAAAGGACATTTAAAATACTGTCGAGTTGGAAGTCCTTTTGAGAGGCTGTTGAATAAGTAGGTTCTTTATAAAAGCAAAAAGGTGCGCCTGTTGTTGCCAGTTTTTTTCATCAAGCAGGTAAAGACTTATTGGTCGGTTTAGGTAAAAAACTGGAAGTTGAACAACAATTTATTAGAGAAGCAGTAAATAGGGAAAGAACGATAGAAGATTCTCGGAGAAATGTTATCAATCAAAACTGAGCTAGAGCGTCCCTTTCTCATAGGTGTAACGCGGTTGCTCTCATTGGTGCACAATGAGCAGCACTCTGTGTTGTTGGAAGGCTGAATAACCAATGGCATTTTTATTTATTACCGAAGTAAGCGTTATATTTTCCCATTACTAACAAGTGTCCAGGTCTCTTAAAAAATAATATTTCACAAAACCAATCCAATGAGCGAATGGATTGAATTTTACAGATGCTTAATCCTGCTTTACTAATTGGTATCCACCAATACATAGCTAACGAACTATTGGCATCTTCTGATCATGAAATATATTTTCGACTTCAGCTGAAAGAGACTTTTCTAAATATTTGGTAGAGATATCTAACAATAATTATGCTCGTTTCTGCTACCATATATTTTTTTAAAATAAGAAAACATGCGATTTTATTTAAAATAATACATCAGTTCTTCTTCTACCATTAGGTTGGTTATTACTGATAATATATTTCCATCGCATGTTTTCTTTCATCTACAGCTCCTCCACCACCATAGCTTAACACTGATAGTTTGACAAGCCTCAGATACCGATGAATGAGCCTGGCTGCATGGACGTTTCGGAGTTTTCAAAAGCCCTCAACGAAAAACTTCCAACAAGGTATCCCTGCTTTAGTCAAATAAGTTCAGTGTGCTTTGATACAATCTTATGAACCCAAATTCACTCACAAGAATCAAAATTAAAAAGTTACCATTAACTGAAGTTTTGGAAGAATTTATGCTAATAAACCTACGCATGATACGTTTTAGATCATAAACTTCTAAAAATGCCTTTTATGTGAGATCAGAATTAACGCAGAAGCATATGACTGAGTCATTCAATAATGATTTGAACTAAGATCATTAAAAGCTTCAGCTCTTCTCTTAGGCATACAGGGTGTTCCAAAACGACCGCATAAACTCGGCACAGCTAGATTCCTCATTGGGAGTACATAAAAAATGCCAAAAGAAGCGTTCCTGAACGATCCATAGTTTACGAGAAAAATACGAAAAACAAAGTATGATGTCACTGCCGGTGCAAGGAAAAAACATTTTATTGGACATATCAACAACAGTATTGGCATATCTTTCAAGACGATAATGTTTAAAACGTTCGCCGCGCATATCGAGTCAGGCATGCGGCCTGACGGTAGCACAAGCGGATGCAATACTGCAGCGGGTAGAAGAGACACCCGAGGTAAGCACACGCGCATTAGCCCGTGAGATGACTTCGAGTAAAAGTACTGTGCACAGGCTTGTACGGTCTGAGAGGCTACACCTATTTCGGTACACAACCGTGCAAGGTCTAAAACCAGACGACTTTCAGAAACGCGTGGCCTTCTGTGAATGGCTGTTGCAGCAACAGAACACAGATAATGGTTTCATTGCACATATCCTGTGGACCGATGAATCATGTTTCACTCGTGATGAGTAAATAATTATCTTTGGGTAATAATCAACCATCACAACATTCATATGTGGTTCCAGATCAATCCACATGCAATCCGGCCGCAGAAACATCAGGAATGTTGGTCTCTTAACGTGTGGGCCGGCATACTCAGGGATCGCCTGCTTGGACCATATGTGTTGCCTGAACGGCTCTCGGCATAGTCGTACTTGGTGTTTCTCAATGAGGTCTTAACTGAGTTCCTCAATGACTTACCATTAGCGGAAATACAGGGACTTTGGTTCCAGCATGACGGGGCTTCAGCGCATTTCTGTGTTCCTGTACGTGGTTGCCTGGATATGGAATACCCCGGCCGCTGGATCGGATGTGGGATTCGGTTCTATGGCCGCCACGTTCGCCAGATCTTACACCGTTGGAGGTTTTCCTATGGGGCCATCTCAAGGAACTGGTGTATCGAGACGTACTGACAACACCAATGGACTTAGTTGTTCGTTTGCATGCTGCTCGTACTTCGGTGAACCCTGCGATGCTGTAACGTGTGATGGCAGCCATTCCACTACGAGTTCAAGCCTGCCTCGACATGCATGGCGGACACTTTGAACATCTGCTTTAAGTTGTGTATATACTGCTGTTGATATGTTCAATAAAGTGTTTTTTCTTGCAAAGACAGTGACGTCATACTTTGTTTTCGTATTTTCTCGTAAACTATGGATCGTACAGGAACGCTTCTTTGGGCAGTTTTTATGTACTCTCAACGAGGAATCTAGCTGTGCAGAGTTTATGCGGTCGTTTTGGGACACCCTGTATAGCCGTAGTGTGCTTATAAATAATTCAATACAATTCGTCATATAAGGATTCTTCGCGTTAGAATTGAAATACTCGAAATTCAGTTGGCATAATAGTATATGTCTAGAACAGGTAAACAATTGTAAAAAATGTCACAATACAGATATGCGCCTTCTCTGATTAATTTGAAGTTGATATTTAAACTTGAAATAAACACCACAGACGTCATAGGTAGGAAAAATAGGCAGGGAGGTATAGTATAAAAATATTTAACAATATAAAATAATTGTGTAAAACGATACTTAAAACTGATACGAAAAAGAAAAGAGATAAAAATTTCAGCTCCCTAAAAATTATTCTGGATTACCTTCTAAAATTGTCAAGCCCTTGCAGGAATCGGAATTGGGGTACTTTTGGTGATATATTGACAGAAAGTTTCTAATACACAAAACCACATCCATGCTTGAATTTGTCATTTCCAGTTAATACATACTGAGAGATAGTTCTCGGATATATATATATATATACTGAATTTAAAGCTGCAATCTCTTGCTGGTACGGAAACTATCAGCCGAATTATGTATACATAATCAATATACATTCGAATAAACATTTTATTTAGTGAAAAGAAGTATTACACTTAGATTAATATTAATAATAAACAGTGCCTCAAAAGGATTATGTGATTAAATTATCACTTAAACAGTCATAGATCCAAAGTCCAAGTTGTGGAATTTTTGGTCATGTTTAATTTATTACTTGATTGATTTCCTTTTAATAAGACAATATACAATTTTTGTAAGAACCTCTAGAAAGGTAAGGAGAAACATCCCAGTTTAGTTAGGGAAGTAGGATTGTCACCAAGACATAAATTTGTTCTGAAAAAAAATGTCAAAATATTATGAATAGAAGGAAGATCAGCAAATACATAAAATTTTGCTCGAAAATAATCTGTCAAAATTTTATGAATAAAACTGTGTGATTATAGGCATTGCACAAAAATAAAACCACGAGATATAGAGTTTCAAATATTAGAAATTTTAAAAGAAAGATGACTCGTCAGGCTGTTTCAGTGTAACAAACGGTTGAACGTCGTAACGATGTTTTTTACAGATTAGGTTAGGTTATTTGAATATGGCGAGCCACACTAGGGCTACATACATTAAGGTTGGGATGCCTTTAGAAAATTGCTAGTATTTAAGTTAGACATAGGAAAAACCATGAAAAGTAACTATGCAGCCAGCCCGTTCGCCTGCAATAACAAAATCAATTTTCAGCGGTTTTAATCACTGAGTCACCGGTGGGGCGACGTTAGTTCCAGATGATGGTTAAGTTCATACCCAAAGACAAATATCCGGAACCGACCGCTGGCGGTAAGAGACCCGGTATCTGATCTTAGGGAACGGACGCCGAGGGATGAAGGCCTAGCCTCGTCTCTCTCAGTTCAGCATCGGCCTCCTTGTGGCGCCCGCTGGAAACTATCAAACTGGCTCCGGCTGGCATAGGTCAACAGTGCTGGAAAAACATTCCTTGGAATCGACTGGCAGAATTTACGGAACCGACCATTTATGGGATGAGACCCGGGGTTCTATCAGATTGGAATTTAATGGCTGGATTTGTGTCTAGACAGCTTCGATTCTTTGGGTAAATAATCAGTCTTCACATTGATTAGAACCATCATATACACTGAAGGGACAAAAGTCATGGGATAGCAATATGCAAATATACAGATGGCAGTAGTATCGCGTAGAAAATGTATAAATGCGAAGTGCTTTGCCAGGGCTTTCATTTGTGTTCAAGTTATTCATGTGAAGAGGCTTTGACGTGATTATGGCCTCAGACTTTGAACGCGGAATGGTAGTTGGAGGTAGACGCATGGGTCATTCCATTTCGGATATCGTTAGGGAATTCAACATTCCGAGATCCACAGTGTCAAGAGTGTGCCGAGAGTATCTAATTTCAGGCATAACATCCCACCATGGACAGCGCAGTGGCCGACCACCTGCACTTAACGACCGAGACCAGCGACGTCTGCGTAGAGTTGTCAATGTTCACAGACAAGCAACACTGCGTCAAATAACCGCAGAAATCAATGTGGGACGTACGAGGGACGTGTCCGATAGGACAGTGCGGCGAAATTTGTCTTCCTTGGGCTATGCCAGCAGAAGACCGACTCGAGTGCCTTTACTGACAGCACGACATCGCCTGCAGCGACTCTCGTGGGCTCGTGAGCATATCGGTTGGTCCCTAAACGAATGGAAAACCGTGGCTTGGTCAGATGAGTCACGATTTCAGTTGGTAAGAGCTGATGGTAGGGTTCGAGTGTGGCGCAGATTCCACGAAGCCATGGACCCAAGTTGTCAGCAAGGCACTGTTCAAGCTGGTGGTGGTTCCATAATGGTCTGCTTTCTAGAGATTGAGTCTCTAATCTTTGAATGGGGGACGCAAGTTCTCCGGGACAAGGGCTCTATCTTTGGTTCACTGCCGTAAAATGGATCGCAGTGGTCCCAGCACGAACGCAGAACACGACAGGGTGCATAAGGCTGTTGATAATGCATCCGAGATGCGCCGGAGAGTGATGCAAATGATCAACACTGGAGCGGACAGTTTCGTTCGAAAAAAGAGTCAGTCAGAAGAATGGATCCCAAAGAAAACTAGTGGCTTAGAATGAAATGAAATGAATGAATGAAGATTAGTGTTACGATTTTTCCATGGAAAGTGAAAGGTAGTGTTATATCAATAGTGGCGCCCACAACGAGCCCCTGTACAGGTGCATAACTTGATACTGACAAACCAAAGCATTATTTTCGATACGAGGTACAAAGTGAAACTAACATTAGGCCGTTTGAAATGCTTAAAATGTATGCACCGTGGGTACCCCGAAGACTCACTAACCTGGAACACTCGAGATTTTTTTGGCATAATATTATATGTTTAGAACAGGGAAGCTAACAGTTATCAAAGAAAATGACACGATGAAGATGTGTGGCTGCTGTGGTTAATTTAAAATCGATATTAAAATTTTAAAATAAAATAACCACAAACGTCATAAGCGGAAAAAATAGACAGAAACGTATAATATAAAAATATAACAAAATAAAATAATGATGTAAAAAGATACCTAAAATTGTTATAAAAAAGAAATAGGCAAAAATCTGAACTTCCTAAAAACTATTGTGGATTAGCACGTAAGACTGCCGAGCATTCGCAGGAATCAGAATTGAGATACATGCCGTTATATTGACGGATATTTCCTAATACAAAACCACATCCATGTTTCAATTTGTCATATCCATTTAATACATACTGATTAATAGCTCCCGGATATATAGATATTGAATTAAAAGCTGCAATCGCTTGCTGATACTAACATTATCAGTCGAATCATGTACATAAATATACATTCGAATGAACATTTTATTTGGAGAAACGAAATATTACACTTAACGTTAATATTAATTATGAAGACTGCTTCAAAAAGATTATCTGATTAAATTATAACTTGAATTATATGTTACAGATCCAATGTTCCAATTGTATGGACTATGGAAATTTTTTTATTATTTGATTTGCTTATGATAAAATTTTATAACTTTTTATAAGAACCTCTTCATAGAAATGAAGCTTCTCTCAGTAAGCTATTCTTTATCTCACTAAAGGTTAAAAATTTTGTAAATAAAAAATAATGCATTTTCTCGGATGGGAGAGGGTAAACAATACATAAATTATACATGGAGAAAAATTGTCAAAATATCATGAATATAATAATGATCAGCAATACATAAATTTTGCTTCAAAAAAAAAACTGTCAAAGTGCTATGAATAAAACTATTAATTGTTGGCAATGCATAAAATATTAAATCACGAGATATAAACTTCAAATATTAGAAATTTTAAGAGAAACACGATGCACTTGCGAAGCTGTTTCAATATAACAAAGGGTTGAACGTCGCGACGATGTTTGTTTCAGGTTATTTTAAGTTGGGTTATTTGAATATGGCGAAGTACACTAGGGCTATCTACATTACATTCGAGATGCATTTATGGAGGTCCTTCTATGGGAAACGAGCTAGTAGTAAACTTAGACATAGGAAAATAAGTGAAATGTGCAACTAATCCATGCAACTAACCCGTTCGCCTGGGATCGAAAATCCAACTTTCAGCGGTCTCAATCACTGGACCACTGGCTCTGCACTGGTTAGTTTCAGGTGATGGTTAAGGGTTGCTGATAAGTGTATTCGTGATGCGCTGGATGGTGAAGCAAATGGTTAAAACTGGACTAGACACTTTCTTTAGAAAAAAGAGGCAATCAGCAGAATGGATTCAAAAACAATTAGTAGATTTTCGCGCAAGGGAAATGAAAGGAATAATGAATAGCGTTACCTTTTTCGCATGGTAAATGAAAGGAATGAATAGTGTAAGGTCAGTATTGAGGCCCGAAAGAAGCCGTAGTACAGCAGGTTGCATAACTTGATACCGACAAACCAAAGCATAGTCGATAAGACGTACAAATTGAAACGGTTATTGGCAAGGAACTCTACTAAATTTATGCTGCGTGGGTGCCCCGAAGACTCACTGACCTGTAGAAACAACTTTGTGTGATAAAATGCCAAGAGAGTATGAGTTAAATTCCTCAAGTTTTGATAAGATGAAGCAGACTGCATAGTCAACCATTCTCCATAAAGGGATGAATTCAACAGCATGAATGCAACATTGTCTTCATGTGTAGGCCTCTTAAAGAATGATTTTCTGCAGCCTTTCGAAACTTTCATGGGGAATGACAACCCTGCATTTTGTTGCGTAGTAATTCATGCAAGCATTCCCAAAACTAAATTCACAATCTGTCATTTTAATGAGCTTAGTTCAAATCATTATGAAATGACTCAGTCATATGCTTCTGCGTTCATTCTGATCTCACATAAAAGGCATTTTTAGAAGTTTATGATCTAAAACGTATCATGAGTAGAGGTTTCTTAGCATAAATTCTTCCAAAACTTCAGTTAATGGTAACTTTTTAATTTTGATTCCTGTGAGTGAATTTGGATTCATAAGATTATATCAAAGCACACTGAACTTATTTGACTAAAGCAGGGATACCTTGTTGGAAGTTTTTCTAAAAGAACCTGGCTCATTTTCACATTACCTCTGGGAAAATTTACGGACACTCCCATGCAGCCGGATCTTTCTCCCGTTTTCGAGCTGGCTAAACTATCAATTTCCAACAGTTCTTACCCTTTCAGCCACTGCCGCACGTCTGAAGAATAATTGGTTTTGTTTTGAAGCAGTTCGACATGGATCGAATTACATTTTGTTCATAAATTTTTTTTATTAAATTGGCATAAAATTTCAATTTAGAATATTTTTAAAATATTGTCCCTAGTTAAGGTTCCACTGTATAGTAGCCTACTTTCTTTTATTTGTCACTTAAATTGGGTCTATGGCATTCTGACTATGACTAATCATTTGATAGACATTTAATCCTGCACAATCTCTTTTAAACTTCCTCTTTATCGATAGATAACATTTACTCACATTTTGGAAAAAAGTTATAAAAACGTTAAAAGTAATTAAATTACCTCCAGAGTCTTAAAGCAATGTACTGGAATATGTTTGATTGGCTTTTCGTGACTTCCAATTCTTTCACTCTCAGATAACAGTTGAGCAGTCCCCTAAAATTAAAAATGATTTCAAGCACTAAGCCATATAATAAAATCTGAGAATTCTATTCTCAAGTGCTGAATGTAGTCATTAAAGTAGCTTTAAACATATAATTGATATAAAATTATTAAATGATATGTTAATGCTTGTATAGAAAATGAATCCAGTTAAAGTACATTAAAATGCAAGTTATACATGTTTATTTTAAACAAAATTGCATTTAAAGAAGAAATTAAATTCCTGAATAATATTTTCATGAGAAGCTCTTTGCACCCTAGAACACACAGACTAGAACTAAATTCACTATTATAACTTTCGAAGAAGTTGCAGCAAACCACACAAAGAAAAGAAATTCATATGTGCGGTCCCCCACAAGTTATAGTATCCGAGCTAGACTTATTAAGTCACGCCTCCAAAGGGTGATAATTTCGCGACTACAGACGAGATATCACCATGAAATTATCGTGAATTATTACTGAAGCTAGAAGAGAAGGTTCATAAACTTAAAATAACTGTTATAAAATTAGGATGTGTGTAGTGAGAAAAAAACAAAGCAACAATAAAAGTCTATAACCATAGCTCATTTTAATGTCTCTAAGACATATTTAATAACTTTTAATTCCTTACAAACTCATAAGTAAGTGTTTTCTGTTTGATAATTCCAAATACAGATACTTACGTTTTCATCGTTTATAGAGATAACTGGTAATACAGTATTAAATTCTATTTCTCAAATGAATCTTAAATGTTTACATTCAGTATACACTAAAAATTTCATTCATAGAGGAAATTCTATTTTCTAGTCATTCGGAGTTTTAATTTCGTGAAGAATAATTTAGTATTATCCCAAAATAAGTATCACATCTAAATAAGATATGATTAAAATATTAAATATTTACTTTTATATTAAACGTAATTCTAACATTTCAAATAGATAATTATATCGCATCTAAAATTAATATAGTATAGAGACTTAACATATTTGTTCCAATATCGGACTTTCTGATTAAATATATTTACTAAACTCTGTTTGTTTTGTTATGACAAAAATTCCCGATGTAATTTAACAGATTATTTGCCCGTTATAAGAATTTAAGCTTAACTAATTAATGAGTTTTAGCAGCTTTTATAGCTTCCAGAAGTTATAGCACATAATAAGATTATTTTCTAAATTATATACAAGATATTTTAACATTATTATTAATCTACTACTTACTCATGCGTAATTTTGCATGCAAATGCATTAAATAAATCTGTAGCACGTCAATATATATTTAAAATTAATTAGAATTCGTTGTTAAAAATATATGCTTGATATAAATTAGGCAGGAAAGGATACGTTTTTGTTTAATTTAAAATTTTTCATTGGCGCTATGATTATATGCTTGATTACCTGTGTGAGCTTAATATTCGGTTATTTCTTCTATAATATTCGTTTTGAATGACATAGAACTTACCCAATGAATAGGAATGTAGCCACTGAGATTGTGCTGTTGGAAAGAACTTGCTGCATCAAGTGAGGAAAATATTTGTCAAAGATATCATACACATAATAGAAATTTCCTGAAATAAATATTGAAATTACTATTATCAATACATGCGAAAGTATGCGTAAGCTATAAACAGATATGCAGGAATTAATATATTAGCTTACGTTACACTCAGCTTATTTTATTTTCTAATACTCAACCATGTACATATGCTTCAAAATTTATGCTTTTAAAACTATGTATTGTGATTTGAAAAATGTAATTATTTTGATTATATTTATTTAAAATTAAAGTAAATCTAGTTATTGATGAATGGGGGACAATACCTGATTACCACTGCCAAAAACCAGGTACTCCATTTATAGTCAACTGGACTGTATTGTTAGCCGAGTTTGGCGTGAAATTATCTTACGTTACCTTACTTATGTTACAGTAGAGAAACAGGTTCATGCTATTCCGCACAAAAGGAATATGTATGAGAATGGTATTTGTGCATTGGGGGGAATAGTTTGCTAAATCTCAAAACTCCACTTCGATTGCGAAATTCATTCTATAATTGGTCTTTATGGACTGATTGATCCACTTGTTCCTTAAATTCAGGTACTTGTTTGTTTGACAGGTCAAGTATTACTTTCATTGAAAAAACTGTGTAGCAATATTGTAGCAAACAAAAGAACTAAATTGTTGGCTTCAGCCTATGTAATGCAGATTGAAATGATGGCCACATATCGAGAAGTTTGACTATGAAAGCCATTTTAAGCAGCAAGCTCTTTAAACACACATGTTAGCTGACTGCAGAAGAAAATGCCTGCTACATACATGGCATGTTCTTGCTCATGGCCGTTCGTAGGTGCTTTATATCACGGACATAGTTCTTTGCTGTACCATCCTACAAAATCAAGTCTATACTTCAATAATTATTTATTTGTCCTTTTGGGAAATTCTTAGCGTAGTCGTAACTTTTTCAAGTGATCTCATCATATATTTACAGTAAGTGAAAAATGGTTCTGTATGAGCGTCAAAATACAGGGTGATTCAGAATTCATCATCAATATTTGGTGGGGAGGGAGCGAATAGGAAAAAAAGAAGATTAAACGTAGGAATGCATGGGCGCATAGGCCATGTAGTAGGGCAAAATGACCCCAGTTCAATGATGGAATGATCACACGAAAAGGAAGTAGTAAGGAAAAAAAAAATTATTATCTTACATGTAACATTTCCTTGCATGGGTTTTACATACTTACAAGAGGTGCTCGAACTGCTGACCATGCGCTAGAATGCATGACTCACAATGGCGTTGCATGGAGAACCGGATCTTCTGGAATATGCCTCGCATTTACATGCATATCTGCAAGTTCATTCCACGTATACCGGTTCATGTTACTTCTGCAAAGTTACCTAGTCAAATGACAGGTGACAGGTGACGGAAGACGGGGACGCCTGGTGTTTAACAGTGGTAAACAGACATATGTCCCACGCCTTCCCCTGTGTAGAAGCAGCAACTTTATTTAAATTAATAAAAGTATTTACAGTACAACAAGAGCAGATGAGTGATTGTGTTACATTGCAGTTCATAAATAGTCAAGTGCAAGACATAAAAAGAAAGGGTCTTAAATTAAAAAAAAGAAAAAAAACCGAAAACAACACATTAATCACACATAAGGCGTAATTAGATACCAATACTCTTCACTCAATACATAAACTTAAGCATATTGCCAATGCGTGATGGTGTTGTATATTGGGAATACTGAGGTATCTAGAGATACTATACTTACTACAGGGTGTACAGACAGTGAACGAAAGCTTAGTAAAAGCATGATACTTGATAAAATACAGGACAAAATACATGCAATGCATTGATACAATACATGAGACACAGAATACATTGATGTCTGCACGCGTCAACAGCTGTGCTTATGTATGGAAGCTGTATACACACAGCGCCCTCTATACCACCATGCGTTCGCCTGCGACCATACTTTCCTATGTGAAATCTCCTTCTTTTCGTATTCCCTACCTCCCCACCAAATATTGATGATGAATTCTGAATCATCCTGTATAGTAAAATGTCGCAACCTGTACCCGATTTACCGACAATATCAAAATAATGGCACCTTTGATGGTCTGAATTTAAAGCAGAAATTAAGGCTGAAGAGATAAAATGTAAGGGCCTAAATGCCTGAAGGTTTTTGTAAAATATGTTAATAAATAAAAATGTTGTCTCTGAATCCCAACGTAACAAGCGGTATCCAGCCAATGGATCAAGGAATTATCTACAATATAACGATTAAGAAGTCGGTAATTTCTATGAGTTTTAAAAACTTTTATCATTGGAAAACTCTAGATTTACTTTGTCTTTTGCTTGGAAAGATGTAAAGAACATTCCTTTACGTCGCTGCTAGCATAAAATATGATTTATAATCATGTTCGTAGATGATGAATGACTGTTTCTGTTACTTTTAAAACACGTTCGACGCTTGTGGTAGATATCTTAGAATTGGTCACATGTTTGGAGAAGGTTGTTCCTATTGCTAAAGACGAAACTTAGATTTGGGTGGATGCATGCAATTCTGTTTCATTCTAAAGATGACGACGAAATAATAGATCTTAAGATAATCTCTTAATACGACGAAATAATCGGACATAAACTGGGTAAGAAGAAAGATGAGGGTGAAAAGGAAGGGAGGGAAGAAGATGAAGACAGTATCTTTTGCAGAGTAAGAAAGTTACGTAGAAGAACGCTGGAGATGGACTGCAGACTTCCATAAATTTTGCCAAGAATGGGCATCTATAACTGTTAAAAATTTATGTGATCAGACGGCATGATTAATGGTCATCTGAATGCTTTCCCGGCAAACCTTGTGGTAAATGCTTATGAAAACAAATCTTTAGAATTCTACTTAACGTATTTTTTGGCTTGCTAGGCTAGCTTTTTATTTCTTGTTTCTCGGATTAATTGCGGTTGGATTTTTCAGTCTGTTTCTGTATGCGATGCGAGTAAAAATAAGCAAGAACTGGACAACATGTTCTTCATGCGAGAATCGCGTTTAATTTACTAGTGATATTATTTTTTTTTTCAATATCAGTACATGATGGCATGAAATTTCATTACATATACATTGGATTTTTTTAAATTACGAAAACAATTTTAAAATAAGGCATAACACTAAAATGTTCCTAACTTTGATGTGAAATTAAATATGGTAGTTTTTTAAATATTATTTAAAATATTATTATGTTTATACTCTTCGATTGTTTTTCTGAAATATAAAATCACGTGTATGTATTTTAAATTTTAAGTAATCTGTACGAGTTTCAATATTATTTATTGAATTGTGGCCTAGAGACCAAAAAAAAAAAAAAAAAAAAAAAAAAAAAAAAAAAAACCATAATGGGTAAACTTCGCATGCTACAATTTGTACGGATGGCATTACAAAACATGACCAAATGGGACTTCGAAATGTATAGTGATTCAGCCGAAAAAATACTCTTATGCAGAATCGGTGATCATTGTTGCCGATTAAAATGAATTCAACTGTATGCATCCTTAGAAGCCTAAAATGATTAACAAATGGAGTTACAACAAAACATATGTAAATTAATTCATGAAAATGTAGCTCTGTTTCTTGGAAAGCTATTTAATTTGCTTTACAATACGGATTATTTATTTTCAGGTTGATTTTATACAAATTTTTATAATAGCTAAACCAAAATATGCAGATAGCTAAATCAAGATAAGCAATTTTTGCTGAAAAACATTCGAATTCTCTTCAAGGTTTGAAAACTTTAATTTTCGCCATTTGAAGTCATTAAAATATTTTAAATTCTGGCTTAATTCTTCGATAAATGTTTTAATTCATATTTTTAAAGCATTAGCTTTACTGACTTCTAGCAGAAAGAATTATTTAAAAAAATGCCATTATGACAGTTTCGGTAGACATGAATCCTCAATATCACCTGGTGGCTCTGTATGAAAAACTCTTAATTTTCATGAGAGCTGTTAACATTCCACGCTTCGTGTTTACCTGTGTTATTCTTGAAATAACCCTCTTCCACTACACTGCCTTTGATTTGGAAAGATTCTGGAGTAAAACGTTTGAGCTGTTATTCAAATTTTAGGCAAACTATATAAAGGAAATGAAGCTCAAATTTGTATATAATTTGTATATAGTTACGTTATTTCATTTAATAAATTGTATTTATTAATAAATCCACCTTATATTAGAAATTTGCCCTCTTAAATTTATTTTACTTTAAACACATATTTCAAATTAAGCTTCAATTGATACCTCTATATACTAGGAAAATTTGATAAATAACGTATGTTGCCATTGATCATTCCGACTAATAAATAATCTCATCATAAAATATAAATTTCACATGCAATGTTTGTTCTTCGTGGCGAACATTAGAAAAATCACATGACGCTGCGAGCAGGAACACTCTGACACCAGAAAAGAAAGCAATCCACTTTAATTACATTGCTGCCGCTTGGCAAACAGGCGTACGTTCCCTAAACTTATGCAGATCTGCAGTAGCGATATACTAACGTGAAATATTTTCATTCTTATTATTTTTGGATGCGCGTAAACACTTCTGAAAGATGCATTTGGTGGGAAAATGTCTAATTTATGTAATGAGATAAAGGAGTGGTGCAACAATAGCTACTGTTAGCCAAATACCATACATTCTTCTAGAAACCAGATAAAGTTGAAATTCTTGCCCAATTGCATTATACACAGTAACAACTATGTCAAAAAATAGTGAACTCTTTTAATCTAATTTCAAATTATCTAGTAAAAAATTAAGCTTACGTAATGACTCTTCCTGACATTTCATTCTGTGTGTTACATTTGTAATTTTTTGACGAAAGAACTTTTACAGAAACATGAAAAACAGCATACAGTTTTTTTTTTCAAGTTATGAGATATAAATTTCAAAGCAGGTATATCCATGCAATCTCACTTTGAAAAGGCAGGGTAAGCACTGCAACCATGTAGGCGTGAGCTAAAACCAGCCATCCTATGGAAAGAAATCTCAATCCGTTCAAAAAAGCCAGAGATTTATCAGAGACTTTCATGTTAAAGACTTTTCCGAAATTCGTCACAAAAGAAAATGCCAACAGGGCCTGCATAGTTTTACCTGTAAAAAAATACGTAATTAGCTAACAAAATAGTCTTTAAGAAAGTTAACAAATGCAGTACAATTGTGATTACCTCAACTTATGCAAATAAAATAATATAAAAAATCTTTGCATACAGTTAAATAAATGGTGCAGAACATGGATTATTGCAGCATGATAAACCTGAAGTTGGTTCTGCTAATCAGGTTTGGATAACTGAAAAGTAATGGGAGCTTTCAAAAACTGGCATCGTAAATAATAATTTTGGTATAAGCCGCTTTATTGTTATTATCTGAGAATACTGAGGAGCTGACTTTCACTTTCCTTTACCGTATTAACGAAACAAAAATTAAAAGTAGTGTACCAGGTTCAAACTCATTTTCCTTAAGATAAGAATAGTAGATTACATGACTTTCAGTTATTAATATAGTCAGAATAGTAGATTACATGAATTTCAGTTATGACTTTCCTGACAGTTGGGAAGCTGAAAGTAAGGCAAAATATTTAAAAGTGGACATGTTTTAATCATGTATTTCATTACCAGTACATAAAAACTAAAATTTATTGCAAGTCTAGGAATCAGATGATGCAGTTCACTTGTTTCTTTTCAATTCCCATCACATGCATTATCCTCCCTATTTGCCATGACGCCTTCAAGAATTTGATTGCAGAATAAAACAATATCTCTATTATCGGTACGAACTTCCCTATGATATCTGTTTTGAAATTAACAAATAGTAAACGTCATTTAGGCTTAAGTGTACTGCGAAACAACTTCGAATAATACTAAACTATTGGTATGAAATGCATAAAAAATTCAATCTTAATTCTATATATAAGGATTAATTTATGTTTTTCACAAAATTCTAACGAAAATGAGAAATTTCTAACTCTATCATAAATGAACTATTTTGAATATCATCTATGGAATCTCTAGCTATCTAGAGGTTATGTGCAGCCTCTTTAGGAAGAAATAATTATTGCAGCTGTCAGGTAATCCTTCTGTTAATATCATAGATAAGCAATAAATCATCTTTACTTGTCAAAACAGGAGAAAGAAAACCCTCAAAATTTTTCATTGATCCAAATTACATAAGCTCGGTTTTATAGTACTTATTTTAATTTAGTACGATTACTTTTACTTATTATGTATCAATTTGTTTGAAACAAATCTATAATCAATTTTTATTCCCGTTACCACCAGAGTTTCGTTAAATTGTTCTTACATATGCAGTTGGTATTAGATAGTCTACATATTTTTTTTTCAAAAGTCAATATAGATACATTTTTATTCAGTATTTAATTTTTTTTTGAAAATATTTGATTAATGGGCTTACTAATTATCGCAAATGTTTGCTCCTTACACCAACAAATAGAAAAATTTTAAACCAAAATTTAACAAAACTCTTGTCTGAATCGGAATAAAAATTTATTATAGATTTCTTTCAAACAAATTGCTACATCATAAATAAGAGATCTAAAATCATAATTAGTAGCTAACCTAATTATAAAAAATATCCTTATTAATATATAATATATTATATTAAATATTATATTCTAATGCGTACAGTAATTATAACAAACCACTAAAAGACAATGCAGCTACAAATTGCGAATTACTAATATATAATTGTCAATCTAAATCTAAAAAGGAAACCTAATTATGTAATGTAACTATTAATAATTAACTAGTAATAATTAGCTGTTATCTACCTAGAATCAAAGTAAAATATTGTTCTTTAAAATATCGATATTTTAGTTTTCTAAGTAAAGTTTTTAAGATTTTCTATTAGCATTTTTTGAGATTCGACATCTTTTAAAAAATTCCTTATTTTTTTTTAAATCTCGCGTAGGTGCTAATAGTAATATATTCAATAAATTAAAAAAATCCACAGTTTATCGTTAGCACTAGAATGGGTTTAATGAATGAGAATATATTTCAAATTTAATTGACATTTAAATGAATTGAAATTAATTATATTCCGATTTAAAAAAAGTAATTTTCTTATGTTTAGATGAAGAGATTTTATTCTCTCATTATCTTCTCCCGTTTTTCAGACAAAGTATAAAATAAAATAATAAAAATTTACTGTTTTAAATTACACAGTTATAATTAAATGCATTAAAGCAGGCATTTAACATTGGAAAGTTTAATATTGCAAAAACAATGCAAAGCTGTAAATAAATAACATTGTAAAGTGCAACGATTTGAATGCTTTTAAAATTTAGTCCAATATTAGTAACACACTCGTGTTCCAAAATTTGTTGTGCAATATTCATGTATACTTACTTTGAAATTTAATTTTTTTACTATTTGCATAAAAATGTAGCGCTGTTCCAATAATCACCAGAAAAGCAGCCAAAGAATAAAAGAACCTGAAATTTACAATTAAACAGTTATTTGAAAACAAATGAATATTAATTTAATGCACAATTCAGTGTATAACACCTTAACATTTATTACGCTTCCCAAAATTTTGTGTTAAGAATTCAAACTTTTGTAAAGAAATTTAATTTCTTCACCTCTTTTGAAATCAAATTTCTTATTTGCATTTCCTTGATATTAAAACGTCCTTCCGAAACATCGAAAAATGTTTACTTCAATTATAGAATGACCGCCTATGCAGAAGGAATGGCAAAGTAGGCATCACTTGTTCGAGTCAAAGCTTATGAAATAATCAATAAATATTATTGATTTTAAACAACGTGTATTTCGTTTGTATTTAGATTGAACAACAATATAAATTTTGTTTCTCTTCATGTATTCATATCATTAAATCATAAGAGAAGTAAATTTAATGAATTAATATTATACATCTGTATTACAAATACTTTCATTTCAGCATCGGTAGAAATTCCATTTCCATCTTCTTCAGTACAATTACCTAATCATAGTAAAATATTAAATATCATTTGATGCAAATTTCTAATGATTTGGTATGTTTGTTTAAGGCAAATATTGTGAAGTTTATCTGTCTAAGGAGAGAGATGCTTTCGTAAAGGGCTTCCTTATTAAAATATGAATTTTATCCATGTTGCGCATAGGGAAAACTGTAAAATCTTCCCAGATGTTAGCCTTTTCGTCGGAATTTGAGTCCAAATCGAATGCCTAGTGTTTAAAGATAATGCCACTGCTTCCACTGGTCACTGGTCACCCAAGTTTATAATAGAATGATTCTCAGTTGCAGTCGAAGTTTATTGCAACCATTTCTATAGTTTCATATAGAATCTGCATAAGTGCTTACGCAGATTGCCATATATGTAAATTGCCGTTTCTGAAAATTATGGATAATCACCGTATTACTGTATTTTAAACTCTTAAAAGAAAACTGCACTAATGTAAGATATTTGATAAAACTATGAATTCGGCAGGTTATTTCAATAAAATGCTTCTCTTATTGCTTTAAAGAGACAAATCATTTAATTTGCAGACTATGTTCTTCTCTCAAGAAACTCTTTTTATGGGAAATAATAGCAAAATGAAAACGTTCTCTTGACACTGAAATGGTATTAACAATGTTGTAAATTTTTGTCATTTCAAACTGTTATAAACCACCATATATATATATATATATACCTTTACATAAGTAGTGTGTTCTACAAACTTAAAATAGAGGGCGCTGGTTTACAGAACTCACTACTTAACATCACTTAGTTTAGCAATGCTTCTCCACTCAACACAAAACAAATATAGTTGGTAATTAAATTAAAACTTACTATTTACTTGCCTTTTTAGTATTATTTAAATATAATTTATGTATTATTTTTTATAGATAATGGTCTAGTTTCTTTTGAGTTATATGCATAGTTCGTGTAGGGAAGTTCTGTACACAAAAGTTTCTAAATTACTTTGGTACTAAATTAAATTTAAATTAAATTACAATTTTGGTTTCCTACTCTTATCTATTAATTTTTTTATTTTAATTCTAGTCTTTTAATTGCTAATTTCTCAAAATTCCACTTATCTAAATTTCTTTTTAGTAATTCACCACATTTGGAATTTCTTTTGGTTTTGACTTTTACCCTTGTCCACATGGAGGACGAAACACGAATTGAATGATTGAAGAGCTAAGTTTGGAGGCAACTTCCTCTTGATAAATCTGTCTCCTGCCTGCTCAACAATCATTCACTTATGCATTTTTATTAATGATTTTTTTAGGATTAAATAATTTTTGGAATTTTATATTTATTCATGGATTTTGATACTTGCACTTGATTTACATATGCTCTCAGAATTGAAATTATATTGTAAATTAGTTCGCAACAATAATTAATCATTTATTTGTTTGCATTAAATTCCATTTAAATTTGTTAACTTTATATTTGCTTTTTACGAATAGAGAATGCTTGTTAAATTCAAACTTCCTTGCAGCAATGGCGCATATATATATATGTTAAATATAAAAAACAGGACGACTTTGCTCTATGCGAACCAGCAACCTTTCATTAACTTTCTGCATTTCAGGATTTTCGCTCTAGACTAGTATTTTCGAGAACATTCCAGCCTATTACGTAACCGCTTCTATAAATAGAGAATTCGCTCCAAGCTCCTCCCTCCCGCTGGTGTTAAGGTAGATGCTGCTGAGCGTCTCATCTTTCTTCTCTTTGAAAAGCCTAGATTTCATCGTATTTATTTTAAAATATTATTTGATATGTAATTAGGAGAATTTCATCTAAAAGAAAAACTATCAGCCATTCAAATTGTATAAAGATGTGCAATGAAAAGCAAAATCCTTCTGTGCCATCATTCTGCCGCATTCCACTCAGCCAGACAACGCCTGGACTCTGATGCCAAGCTTCGTCACTCATGTGCCCGACTGCTAAAATATCATATATATATATAATATATATATAGAGAGAGAGAGAGAGAGAGAGATTTATAAATGCTGACAATATAATGCTAATAATAAATACGCAATTTAATTATATCATTAATTTAAAATTTGCTTTCAATGGTCTGAAATATTTAAACCCAGCGTCAAATTATTCCTAACTTAATAATGGATTTCTTTTGATTTAGCATCTTTCCTTAAAACTAATACCTCCAAAAGAAGCAGCCATAGTATTATCCCTCAAAATTGCTATTTTCAAAATTTACCAGAACAATTACAGCCCTATTTAGAATTTTGCACACGAAGATAGCTATTTCGAAGACAAAACTATAACCAGTGATAATATATTCAAGGAATGACACCTACATAACTTCTGAAGACTGGAATTATGGTGTATTATAATGCGGCGGATCCGATACCCTTAGAGGTCGAAGGGTTAAGGCTGGTAAATTCTGGTAGTTCGACCTGGGTTTAAATGTAGGCAGAAAAGCTGACTACATGGATGTTTTTCGGGGTTTTCTCCTTCTATATTGAGGATAAAAGGATGTTTCCAATATAAAATCCTCCACAAAACCATATGTCCCCTTAAATGTTAGCCCTCATATATTTTGCTCTGTAAAAAGAACTTGACCTCTATGGTGTTGCAATAATAAAGTCACAAAAATTTAATAATGTATCATACTGCCTAAGATAAGCAAAAAAAAAATACCTTTTACCATACAGAAGTAAACCCATAGTTCACGCTGTATGAGACGTTGAACATCAATGACAAGCAAACTGCAAAAGCTAGTTTAATATGCAGAGTTTTCCAAACTTCGGACACGCATACTGCGCCCAAAGAAATGTCAAACTTAAAACTATTGCGTAATGTTAACTTAAAGGTCCGTGTACTGCATTCTTTTTGGAGAAAACCGTTCGTCGCATAGAAATTTAAGAATTGGAAGTTTAAGAAAGGTTGGCCTAGTTCAATCAAGTCTTAAAGAGTTAGCGGGTTCAGGTACGACTCAAAAGATGTTGTAACTCTGAATAAGAATTTTGTTGAAATTAAGTTGTAACTTAAGCTTACCAGCAAGCCGTTGTTTCTGATAATCGACGAGACGTTTCATAGCTTAAAATATTACCATTTTAATTGCATTTACAATGTTCAGCAACTTTACCACTCGGCCGCTGGTGGGCACGAACAGAGGCCAAAATCTGGGTATCTCGGATTGGTACAATGGTTGAAAACTTTTTGATGGGCGAGGCTAATAAAGTTCTATTTAGATTTTGAGCTTTAGCTTGTGTATTCATAGATAATAAAATAAGAAGGAGCAATTGGCAGAATTAGAAGCAGCAATTGGCCAGCCATTATACGTAACCTCTTCAAACATTTTCACTTACGCTATCGAGACTAATCTTTTCTGTATTGAAGCCATTTAGTACTTAACTATTTAATCAGGAAGTAACAGAAAAGCATTTCCTGCTCCATATTAAGTACCAAATTTTAAACCTCAAGATTAAACTAGATTTCTTTATTAAATATACCAACACGTAGGACATCTATGGCCCATTCCTCAGAAAGCGATCATTCGCTACGCTAAAAATTGTAAGTTCTGGCTCTCTTCTTTGTGCTATAACTAAGATGTGTTAGATTCTGATCCTTTTGTGAGAGTTGGATGACCGAGATAAAAGGAACCATTAATCACAATCACAGTCACTTATTTCGATATAAAAGAAGTCAGTCATCAGCAGTTTATTACATCTGAAAACTGCTCTCATTACACTTAAAAGAAAATTGAAATAAAAAATGCTTTATACAAAACAGTTTTATATTTTATAAGAGGAATAAGAATAGCAAATGAAATGTATAATTTTTCATTTTAAAAGAGTATTTTGGTTTTCAAGTGAAACATGCATAATGGGGTTTGCTTTTCTTTTTGGGTTCAATTAACTTTGATTTGCCATTTTTTTCCTAAAACTCTTCGTTTGAGAGATTTTTCAAATTTTGAACTCTAATGGTTAAATATGCACATGATTAACGTAAAAAGGTTAGCATTTTTTAAATGTCCTGTTTTATCGATTAACGTCAAAATATTAAGATCTATTTGTATGCCTTCAAAAAGCCTGGCCCCTACACACACCACCCTAAAAATAAAAAACCGAATGAATGATAAAAATGTGTAGTGGAAATTTTGAATGTTAAAACTTTGAAAAGATATATTAAAATATAAAATTTTGAATTAGTAGAAATATATACTGGGAATCAGCAGATGGAGAGCTCAAATTGTGTAACATAAAAAATTTATAACCGTCAATCTTAAGGAAATAAGATTTTTTTTCGGGAATATTTTGGCATAGACGAAGCTATCATTTTGTATTAATTGTTGAATCATTTGTCTTCAATAAATCTGGCTTGTCAGTAACTATCCATTATCATTTTCTTTCATGCATTATCATTCTAGTATCCTCTTGCGCCCATCAAAAAGTTTTCAACCATTGTACCAATCCGAGATACTCAGATTTTGGCCTCTGTTCGTGCCCACCAGCGGCCGAGCGGTAAAGTTGCTGAACATTGTCGTTGAAAGCTTGAATTCAAAGCCAGGTGATTAAACTGACTACATGAGCCTTTTCGTAGCTTTAACCTATGTGCCATGCGGACTAGTAGCTTTAACCTATGTGCCATGCGGATACAAGTCAGATTCCATTGGAGAGCGCTCCAGGAACACATCTCTTTCCTTAAGCAGGTTGCTCTTGCATATTGTGGCATAATCAGATAAACCAAACCGTTTTTACGATTTTCATATCCTAACCAAATGAAGAAATGACTTAAAGAGAAAATATTTTAGTTGTGAAGATAAAAAAGAAGCTTACTCGAAGACGTTGAAAAGTAGAGTGATTTCCATATAACGGAAGCTAAGCGCTGTATTAACGAAATATTTTAACGTAAGCATAAATACTAACGAATCAGGGCTGAAAATGAAAGGGCATATAATGTAAAAGACGTTTAAGTGAGAAACGTTCAGAGAATGCTTTATTGTATAAATTAGTGATAAACATTAATAGTATTTCAACAATATGAAATTATACACTCAAAACAAATCTATACTCACACTGATACAATGAAAGGGGTATTGTACTTCGTCTGTCTCATTTCGCAATGTGTCACAGTCGAATTCATGGCGAAAGAATCAAGAACTGAAATTATACAAATGACTCTTTTAAGAAAGGTTAAAGGTAAAAGAATAGAAAATATAATTCCAACTATACTTACAGTATTTTGTAAATTTTTCCACATCTTCTTCATTGCAGCCTGAAGGTACGCAAATCCCAAAATATGCACTTCCAGCGTAAAATGTATGAGCTAATGAGGCCATTTTCTTTATAAATTCCTGAAAAAATAATAAAAGCAATTTTCTTATTATAAGAAAATTCTTCAAAATTAATATATAAAACAACGAAAGGTTGAACAATTTAATATATCAAAATAACAATATCGAAGTCAAAATGAATTTTGGTTATGTGGTACGAAGTGTGAAATTAAAGTAATGAGTTATATTCAAATTACAAATTACCTCGATCTTCGTCAGAGTCGTTCCATATTTTAAAAGAAGGGAGGCCAAGGTGCTCGGTACAATATATGACGAAATCTTTCTCGGTCTTCTAGAAACTTTAGGGATGTGATAATTCGGATTAGATCATTCTCTTTGAACTGTTTTTCATAGACATCTCCAGGCTCGGCGGGCATGTACAATTTCACTCCATGCTATACAACAGGACAAATCGGATTTGCATTTTTCTTGAGGGATTACTCAAATTCCAAACAGAACAAATGGGTAAAACTGAGAACATTCTTCATTTTGTCTTTTTTGTAGGCCGAACGGGGTCAAGTTCTACACTAGCAAAGTTGACTTATTTATTTCGCGTGTTTTACAAAGTGTTATCATAATTTGCATAAAATGCTCTTTTGTCAAATTTGTTTAAAGATATATCTGGCAAGTTTGTATTATCAAGGTATTATTAGGTATTATAAAGTCAATAAATGACTTCATCCCTATTTATGTTACACGGAATTGGCGATAATTCATATTGTAGTCCTTATACAAGACATGCAAATAAAGTAATGTGACTTAAAGTTATATTTAAATTACAAATCCATTTGATCTCCTTCCACGAAGTTCCTTTGGGAAGCTGCATATCGTACACTTCATAGCAGCGCTAGAACTCCGAAATTGAAATTGCCTTCATCCAATCCGTGACGCTTCTGTAAAATTTTGTGTGGTTATAGAATGATGTTCCTACAAATACGTATATTGTCATGATATCCAAATCATTCATTAAAATTTAATGAACAAGATTTGACTTTAGCTTTTTATGTGATTAATCTCACAGTCAGTCGATAGTCGGGCAGCCCAGAGTCACTGACGTTTTCACATTTTCATCATTTTTGTAGAAAAACTTACATTGCAAGAGTTGTCTTCACCTGATTACCAACCTTTTGAAAAAGCTTTAAATAAGCAGAAAAACCATACTGTCGATAAGCTAAACTTTCCACAAGCCTATCGAGATTTTGCAAAATTTCAATCGCGTGGTACGCTTGTCTTTGCTAAAAACTCAAATTACACAGCTCCGCCATACACCAAAGTACACTGCGCAAAAACAAAAATGGGACAGTTCTATATCTTCCATTCTACTGGGCCGACTGACGAAATTCAACTTTCGTTTTTCATTTCTTGTAAGTGTGACTTAGGCTATGTATTAGATTTATATATAGCATTGTTCTAATATAGGTATTTTAACACAAAATCGAACTTCTTCTGAAATGACTGGCCAATTGTTTTCCATATTTCAATTTCAAGACTCGAATTAGGCTAAACTGCCAACTTTTGCAAAAAATCACAAGAGTAGTTTTAATTTTTAAAGTTTAGATTTAATTTAAAAAATTAGCTCTCGAATTTTTAGCTCCTAAATGTTAATTTAAATTTGGTATATATTTATTAATCTCTCTTTGTTATTAAGCTTATTTGATCGTTCCTTTCACATTTTGAAATTTAGGTTCATTCCAAATAAAATTCACCTATTTTTTATGATTTATTTTGTAAATTTATATTTAATTTTTTTTTTAATTTTTCGAAAAACATTTTTATTATAACCTGTAAATATTTACCATTATCTTAAAGTAGATGTATTTCTAAGCATACCTACAAAACATTAGAGTGTTTTATTCAAAATTTCCTAAGATATATGTGAATTTATATATTGGCGCATTTTGAAATTTGGCATATTTATTGAAAACGATAATAACATTAAATATGGTTTAGGCACTTTGTTAAAATTATTTTGATAGTAGGAACGAAGTGACTTTTTCCCCTCATGCACATTGCAAAATGGGAAAGGAAAACAGGTTGCCATACATTAAGAAGTTCTCCGAGTGAATTATTCTTGGCGCAACCTGAAAAAATGTGGCAAGATAAATTTTTGAATTTCTCTGTAAATTTCGTACCGAATTTTAATATTTAAGCATAATTTGAATCGTAGAATGGAAATATGTAAAAAAATTTAATGGCATGCCATTTCTAAAGAAGTCCGATTTTGCGTCAAAATACCTATGTTAGAACAATGTTACACATAAATCTAATATATATTGTAAGTCGTGCCTTCGAATCATGAAAAACACAATTTGAATTTCATCAATCGATCCAGTAGAACGGGAGATATAGAAGTGTCCCATTTTATTTCGCAATGTACCTCGAAAACTCCACGGAAAACGTAGTAATTCCAGTATATGTGAATTCTACAATATTCCTCTTGAAGCTATATGTGAAAGGTGCACCTTCGCTCTCCGTGGAGGGCGAGTGCCTGTACTCTTCGTATGCAGCGTTACGTGACCAGTGTCATTACTTTATTTAGATATCTACATATCAAAGGCGAATGTTTAAGCAGTTAAATTAAAATTATTTTCTTTAGATCCGCCTGGTATTTTTTTTCACGGATCAGAGTGTAGATAACTTTAATGCAAGTGTTTTTCCAATTTTTGTGTCTCTAATTTTCAAAGCTCTGCTCTCAATAATGCTTTCATTTGTAATGCGAACTTAGGTTTCGTAATCCTGTTTTAAAACCTGTTTCTTCATAAATCGTGAATTAAAAAAGGAGCTGTTTCTCATCGTATTTCATTTCTGTCTTCACTACGGAATTTTCGTATAATTATCAATGATGTATATACTACATGTGTCGGAGGTAACTAACAGACTTTATTTCGCTAAATACTAGTTTCAATATATATGGATCTATCACATGAAATTTTATGAAAATAATTTAAACGCTGTAGATTGGAAGTTCTTTTATTTACTTGTAATGCACAATAAACCTACTAGTTTAGTATTCATTTTGATTTAATTAATACAGTGCAAAATGTTTGTTATGTTTAGGAACAAAATTTTAAAACAATCAATCATTAAATAATGGAGTTATTGGAAAATTTAAAGAAAAATGTTCTTCTGTTTAAAACGAAAATATTTACTGAACAAAAGTTTTATTTTTTCGTTTAAAGTTTTTCAAAGCGTCTGAAATGAGCAAAAAGCAAATATAACAAGAACAGTACAATGAAGCAAATGTAACAAGTTTGCCTCAGTTCAAGTAATTTTGCGGAAAGTGACATAAAACTTTTATGTTTAATGATTTATAGTAGACTTAATATTTTCCTAACCGAACTGCTCCATTTAAAAAAAAGTAGCATATAGAACATTAAATTTAATATTTTAAAAAACCAACAATTTTTACGCGCTTTATATGTAAATTTTCGGGTAAGGTAGTCGGTTGGATAGAATTGAAGCGTTGTAGTCGGAAACAATATTAAAAACTGTCTTTAGTAATGTTATCATAATATGCTTATTTACATTTTTCCAGCAACAAAGAACATTTATAAACTGAATAATGTAGAGTTTTTGCATGTACGATTTTTCTAGTTTTCGATGGTTTGAATTTATTCTTTAATGCTCCTTTTCTCCAACAGCACATGAAAAGCGATGCCTTTTTATAGTCTTGGTTGCTCAGATTTCATGAAAATTTTCATCATCTTGTAGGGTTTATATTTATTTTAACTAACATTCATTTTAAGTTTAAACTATCTTTCCTGTCAAGCCTTACTTTCCCTTGGAACTGCCAATGCCAGAGTATGTGAATTTTAGTAGAACGCGCAAGGATTCAAATTATTCCCGAAAATAAAAAGACAGCAGGAGGAACGAAAAGACCACCACCAACAGAAGAAATTCAAGCATGACTCCAGACCGGAGGACGCCAAGACCAGCCGTCCAGGGGAAAAACGGAAAAGACAGCAACCCGACGACTACCACTCCAAGAGGCCAGCATGCAGAGGGCGAAAAAGAAAAATTAACGTGGACGACACTCGGAGGACATTAAGGAGAAGACTGACGTCCATGAAACTTATAACGTGGGAGCAGTTCTGGCAGAAAAGAATGTCGGAGTTCCAATCATCGAAAACTCAAAGATAAGTTAAAATTTTCTATAAATATTTTTTCTTTTGTTTCGAAATGTTATGCGTAAATGCGAAGTTCTATGTTTTGACGGAAATCAATGTGTCTCGGTTGAGACTTAGTTTTGTTTTACTTTATTTAGATAAGGCAAAAGTATTATTTTCTTTAAGTATAAAATCTAAGAACAAGCAGTTTCTGTTGGTCGAAAGACTAATTCTGTTATGTTAAAGCCAAAATTTGGCCGAGGATAAAAATCAACTTCGTATTCTTGTATTAATAAGAACTTTAGTTTCAGTGCCGCCAGCTTGGCGAAGAATGAGTAAAGTAAAAATTTATTTTTCTCTTATTCATTTTATGGTAAATTGTAAAAATCATATGTATTAGAATTTTGTAAATATACGTAAATACTTGAAAGTTATGTAAAAGTAGAATTTAGTCTAGAAGCATAAAATTTGAGATGCTAAAAGTAAATGCTCAAAAGCAATGAATTCAAATTTAAGTATTAAACTGTAGATAAAATCATGCTTTAGAGCGAAAGCCTGCCTAAAGATGAATGAGGGGGAAGTTAGAATGAATGTGTTTTGTAGGGTTCTCCACCTACACTTGAATTTTAAGAATGTTAAAGTAGCTCATCGAGTTGTAGAATGTCGAGTAAGGTGTGTCTATTTGGTCGTTGAATTCTAACAAATCATTGTGGTTAGGGAAAGTGTTGCAATACTAAAACACGAATATTCCCGTTTGACACCACACATGGTGGAGAGCCAGGGTAAAGTTAAATTCATGTTTGAATACTTGAATGAATGTGAATTAAGCAGTAACTAAGGAAAATAAATCGTTCAAAAACAAAAACTTATTCAGTGTCAAGAAAGTGTAAATTATAATGTATTTAGAAAGATACT